TCCTTCGACTCTTTCCCAGGAAGAGGACTTTGGGGTCCCATAGTTGGTTTTCCTCTCTGCATTAGGGGTAAACCTTATTACAGAGAGAAAATACTTTCTGTCTGGATTTATGCAAATAAACATAGTGCCATGAAGCATCAAAAACGTACTTAAGGTACAAAGAAGAGAAAAGCAGATAATTTTCACTTTACATACAATGAGATGCAATACACCATTTACAGTGGGTTTTAGTCAAAAGAAGCTAAGATTTGTAGAGATAAAGCATACAGTTTAACATCATTTTCAATTCATTCAATCCCATGTTGAAAAGCCTTCATTTTTTAATTATCTAAGAGCATTGTAATAGGAGTCTGGATCATCCGTCTAATATCTTTTCCATAGATCTTGCCAAAAAGGTATTAGAACAATTTTGCAGATGTAATTTAGAGTTTCTTCCAACAATACATTTTGCCTACATCACGCTGAGGCCCATACCTATGACTGTGGTGATCCTGGAGCTCTTGTGGTTCTCTTGTGCACCCACATGGGGAACACCAGAACTGTCATTTCCCGGCTGTGGCACTTGCCTCCTTTTTTCCCCCCTACTGTGGTACAATTTTTGGTGTTGCTTTCTCACACCTGGTTGTGGTGTGACCAGAAACCACTTGTGGTACCAAGAATGACAGACTGCAGAAAAGCCAGGATCACCCTTGGTGCATGGAGGATTCTGGGGTTTTGATCTCATCACTAAACACATATGAGCTTGATGGTCCGACCCTGTATAAATAATTTTATTGAAAATCATGACTTTTATTTCCACCGTAGAGGTCCGTGAAATATCTCCTATTTTCACCTTGGCACGGGTGTGCAAAGGCTGAAACCACCACTGCCCACTCCTTTACTGATGCATGTGTAGTCTTCTCTGTCTTCTTCAGATTTCTCCAGACTCCAGTGATTTCTTTATTCTATATTCCCTCAGAACTTCCAAATTACTCACCATTTCCTGTTTTAATACTATGCCATGGGGACTCTTCTGTACCTAAGTATGTATGTATATACTGACATACATTCAGGACACATAACCCAAAATACAGTGTTTTGTAGTATGAAATACCTCAAGCTGTAGGGATTCGAGAGAAGGGCAGAGCAGGCAGACTTGGGCCTTCTCTGGAAGCAGATCTCCAGACCCTTGTGTGAGAAGTACCTCCTGTTCTTATCTCCCAAACAGGTGCCCAGAAGAATCTGAGGAATCTGAGCAGACAGACATTGATGACTTTTTCCCAGTCACTGCATGGGGCTCATGCCTCTCAGCCGATTCGTTTCCCTGCGACTTTCTACTCTTTGGTAGATCCCACACCAAACATACAGCTTTGAACATGTCCTCAGGTCTCATTTCTTTCAGAAGGTTGCATGTCCATGTCATGTCAATAAATTCATAATGAATAAATTCATCTGGGCAGAGAGAGAGCGTGCGGGCGCGCGCAAGAGAGAGAGAGAGAGAGAGAGAGAGAGAGAGAACAAAAGTGCCTGTCACAGAGAAAGACAGGGATGAAGGGGTCAAGAGGAAAACTGGGGACATTGGTGGTGGGAAATGTACACTGGTGAAGGGTATGGGTGTTGGAACATTACATAACTGAAATACAATCATGAACAACCTTGTAACTGTGTATCTCACTGATTCAATTGAAAAAAATATTTAATTCAAGGGGGCTGAAGAGATTGTTCAAGGCAAGTAGTCAACCTGAGCCCAATTGTCAGCACTGTGTAAGGTCCCTGAGACCCACCAGGAGTGAGCCCTGAGCACAGAGCCAGGAGTTAGTCTAAGCACTGCTGGGTGTGGCCCAAACTCTTTTAAAAAATTAAATTAAAAATTGGTATGCTTTTCTTAGTTGATCTGTGTTTTGTTTTGGAGACACACTGGGGAGCTCTAAGGATAAAAGGGAAAGGTCCTTCTTCTCCCCCTATAAAAGATATAAGGCAAAATCACACAATAATAATAGAAGTCACTGTCATACATACAGTCACACAGGATATCCCTGCTTTATTTTATGAAGGTTGTCCCTAAATGGTACAACACACTGGAATTTTCATTTCATCAGTCTCTGACTTTCTTTTTCTCAGCTTTGGGGTGCTTTGTTGTTGCTGATCTGGAGGTACACTCAGTGCTCAGGGTCTATTCCTGGCTGGGGCCACATTCAGCAAAGCACTGAGCATTCTCTCTCTCTCTCTCTCTCTCTCTCTCTCTCTTTCTCATAGTCTCAAGCCTTGTTGTGTCCAAATTCTTGGAGGACCCATGGAAGCACAGGTTTCTGGCCTCACTGGCTGTCTGGGTCCCAAGAATGTGCTTCTTCTAAGTTTCCCTGAAATATTTCTGCTGCTGCCAATAATCCCCAGGTCACACTTGGAAAGTCACTATTTTATCCTGAAGATACTCTTGACTTGGCTATAAACTCACCTCCCTCTAACCTAGCCTCTCAATACAGGTCCCGTGGAGACTTCCTCCCTTCTACCTCTCTGCTCCATTTCCTATTGCCCAATCCATGACTCGTCAATCTTTGCCAGAGAGTGTCCTGTTGTGACATTGACTTTTTTTCTTTTCTGTTAATGATACTGTTTACAAGTTGTTGCTCTATTATGGGTGTGTGGGTGTGATTGTAACTTAACCAGAGGAAGGATATAAAGCAACTTGTGTGTGTCTTACTCATCTAGGCTGTAATGGAAGTAGGAACCAAGTTGAAGAGGTTATAACATGCCACCCCAGATATTCTTCATGGGCATATTGATTATCCTGAGCTGAAGGCTCTTGAGAAAAAGCAGGCAGGGCCCTCTGACCTCCTCTTTGTGCCTTAAAGAAGGTCATAACATTTCCCTTGAGAAAGGTGCCCTCCCTTCACCAGGAAAAGAATGTTCTTATCACTGGAACCTGGAGAGGCTGTGACTATATAAACAAACACTCTGAAATGCCCTTATCTACCAGCACAGAGCCCCACAATTTATTGCCCCCACTCCAAACCCCTTTGCCTAGTCACCGCCTCACAATTTATCTTTTTGTGTGTGTAGGATATTCTTTAAGCTTTGGCATCTAATTGCTTCCCTGAATCTTCATTTTTCCTTCTGGAGACTTCATAGAGCTGTGAAACAAATATAAAATCAGTTTGTCTGCTTTCCTCATGTTCATCTGCATTTCCCCTACATAGGCCTCAGATTTGCAAATTCTATTGTATAACTAGACCATGATGCACCATTGCTATACTGGTGCACAGAACTCCCCAGGGGCAGCCCTCACCCCAATGTGGAGACCACCTCATCTTAGATTTCAGTCAGTTGCAGGGCCGTTGTTTTTGGATTCCCCCTCCCCTTTTCTTTTTCAAGAGAATGAAGAAATAATCTTAACTCCTCCAGCATTTTCAGCATGCAGTGTAAGTACCCAGAGATTCCATCCACACATGTCCATTTGCTGGGGCTGGAATGGAACCCACCCCAGAACCTGAAGGGACAGGGTAGTGACCAGGCCACTGGGGACCTGCTGTGTGCCTGGCCCAGGTCTTCCCTCATTCCACTTTTGTAACAGCACCACAACCTGGTCATTATCATTCTCAATTCTTTCCACACGCATTTCACAGATAAAGTAATGGAGAGTCCAGAGCTGAAGCACCATCCTTCATTTCTAACCCACCTAATTTCCAGACCAGAATTTCAGACAGACTTATACTCTTGAAACTGGGTCTGCCTAAACCTTGGATTCCAGAGAGTTCTATGATGCCAAATGGCCACCACTGGAAGCTTCAGGGTCTTAGAAGTGTGGGACTGGGTGTGGAGAGATACCAGCAGATTTGGGAGCAGGTTTGATTCACTGGGCATATGACCAGCTGCTCGTCATGGCCCGCTCTTCCAAGAGCTGGCATTCCTAGGGTCTCTTGCCATCTGATATATCCTCCCCTGGCTGCCCCTAGCTCCTGGCTTAGGCCTCAAAATCAAGGCCAATGAGCCTTGGAGCTCATCTGAGATCCTTTGCACAGCCCACTGGGCCAAGGACAGAGGTACAGGCACAAAGCCATTTGCTTGGAAAACACTTTATTAGAGTTACTGATTCTGGAGCGGAGGGTTTCAGGGTGACCTTCAGAGCCACACAGCAACTTCCTGCAGCCGGGTCAGCAGAGATGCATCTCGGAGGGGAGCATGTTCACTGAGAGTCAGGTTCCGCGCTCCTCAGCCCTTTCAACTATAGAGAAAGCAGCTCTGGTAAATTTGGGGTTCTCAGAGCAGGGAACTGGAGTCCTTCACAGGAAACCCCCACTCCATGGGCGCTGCTGGGGGTTAGCCCAACCCTTGGTCCCTTTCCCTCTCAGGGAACAGTAGGGGTTTGTCCTTTGCTTTTGTGAGACCAACCTTCCTCCCTCCACCGGGAGTCTCCGCTGCTCTCCTCGGCCCACCCCCTTCTCTCCTAACGCCCTCCTCCTCTTACCTTGGGGAAGGCGTCCCAGTTGAGGAAAGGAAGTTTCCTTTTGATAGACTAGAGTGGAAGGAAGAAAGGGAAGTGTTACGGAACAACAGAAGTGCTGGCTCAATGAGCTCTCCGTGGCGGCCAGCCATTTCCGGTTTTGTGTTTAGTCAGAATCAGGATTTCCACAGCCCACAATCTGTGTCTAATCACCTTAACCACTTCATGGGCATGATTTCATTTGGTCTTTACCAAAGCAACGTTTTGAGGCAGGAATAGTCATCATCCCCACCACACAGATGACGAAACAGGCACAGAGAACATAGAAGGGCCTGGCCCGTTACTGCAGAGGTGCGCTAAGCAGACAGCTCATTCCAATTCTGAATTCCAATTTTGAAGGCCTTCGCCTTCAAAGTCTGACTCAACCCCCAACTTGGGACCTCAGTTTTGAGGATGATGAGATTCCAATAAGCTAAGTACTTCCTTTTCCAGAACCATCTTTGTGGCCCTGCTGGCCCAATGCCATTTGGCCAAGACAACCTGCCAAAGAAACTCTCTTGGTGGAACTTTGCACAGCAACTTAGCTGGGCTGTTTCTTCCTCTGAATCTTGGGAAAGAGCGTAAAGGGCTAGAACACGTGGCTGCAAGGACCGCTGAGAACCCAGGGGAGGAAGGGCTGAGAGAGCTCTCACCTCAAAGAGGGCGTGCCAGTTCAGGAACTCGTCAGTCTTAAAGGCCTGTATGGGTAGGGGAGAGATCAGAAGAGGGTCAGTTCCAGGGAGGCCAGAGCCGTGGCCTAGGCCTTAGGAAGAGCTGAAATCACAGGGCAGCTTTTCAAACTCTCCCTCAAAGGCGTCCATCTCCTTGCTACTATGGCTATTTCTGAGGGCAGTGCTGAAAAAAGATACTTACAGATCGCAACTTATCGATGTTCAAGAACTGAGCATTATAGGCCTAGGCAAAGAGGCAGGAGGTTAAGGAAATCATTGAGGAGAAGAAAAAGAAGACAAACCCAGGGCTGGAGTGTGGGGATGGTACACTTACCTCGGGGCCTGAGGCATAGTTGCTGACCGTGTTGACCTCCTGTAAAGGGAGGGAATCCCACAATCACCAAGGGCAGACATCTCTCCCTGCCCTCCGTCACCACCACCTTCCACCCCAGGCCAGCCCCCATAAATATAGCCCCTTCTCCACTAGTCTGCCCTGGGCCAGCAATTCCAAGGGCTGACAGACATACCCACGAAGAAGGGGACCAGCTGGGTGGTTTGTGTGAGAGAGAGGGAAAGACCAAGTCTACATAGAAAGGCTACAGAGGCCCCCTGAAAACACAAAGCAGCCCCATCTGCTCCTGTGAAATACCTCCATGGCAACCTAGAGTACTGTTGAGACACCCACATTGAACCCCAGATCTCAAGTGGAATTAGAACACAGGTGGGAGCCGAGTTGCTGAGGTGGGTATACCCACCTTTGCCTGATGGGGCTCGGTTGCTTTACCAACACCTCCCATCAGATCTCCACCTGCCCCCCCACAAACCCTGTTGCACCCCAACTTGTCTCTCTCCCAGCTTTAGTGGCCCAACTTCCTGTCCCTTGACCCTTCTCCCCTACCCCAAAGGTCACTGGCAATGTAGCCCCAGACTGGAACCATAACAGTCGGGCTGACTTGTTTCTCGCTTTGGGGTTAAGCATATTTCATTACTTAGAATTCATCAAGGAATCAAAGCATCCTATTTCTCCTAAACTTTTTTCCAAGTCCAGTCATACCACTACATCCCCCTTAGTCTCAGTTGAGCAGAATAGACTGCCTGCAAGTTCACCCCGTTTCCGTGGGCCCCGAGATCTCCTGCTCATGAGCATCCCTGTCTTTGTCCCCCGAGCAATAGTGTCTGTGAAGCCTCAGGCTTCCAGCCTGGACACCCCCCAACCCCAGTCCAGAAGATGAGGATAGAGCAAGTCCAGGAGACCAGCATAAACGTTTCCTGCTGTGACCTAGAGAGGAGGCAGGGTCCTGTCACCCAGAAGCCACTCCCAGAGGGTACAAATGGAGCAAAGGGGAGACTGAACCCTCCACAACCCACTCCAAGCCCCGTCTTCTCCCTGGGCTCAGCTGTGCTGCCTGCCCCAGACCCTTTACCAGGTGCGTGTCCCTGGGAATGGTTCTCTTCCTTCCTCCTTTCTCTCCTTTCTCAGCTTCTCACCCAACCCCTGAGAAGATCCACATCAAGAGCCTTTATCCAGAACAGGTCAGGACAGGAGATTGAGGAGGAAAGCGGGTGATGGGTGGAAGACAGCGGGACCCCAGGCCATGCTCACCTCAGAACTCCCCAGGGCAGCTCCCCGGGCTGAGTGCAGGGCCAGGAGGGAGAGGAGGACCACAGCGGGGAGAACCGGGATCTTCATGGTGTCAAGTTGGGTTGCTCTGAGGCGGGGCCGCCCCACTTGCCCTTATATTCCCGGGGAGGTGGATGTGAGCAGAAATGGAGTACCCACCCCACTTACTCACCCGGGATCCTGTCGCCCACCCCCGGGGCTCTGGGCGGAGGAGGTGTGGACTGTTCCCTTCTGCCTTGGATTTCTCAACTGGCATTCTGCCCTGGGCAGCAGCTGCCGATGGAGCCCAGGGAGGCTGGTTGGACCTGCCCTGCCAGGGTCTGGGCAGCAGCCACACCATGCTCCTACAGGCTTTGTGTCTTCCTTCTACTTTTTTTTTTAATTTGTATTATCTCTCTGGCTGTGGGCTTTTCTTCCCTCTCCTTACCTCAGTCTAAACCCTTAGCCTGGCTTTGAAGAATTTCCTGGCTCTGCTTCAACCTGCCTTTCTAGTTTTTGCTTCTTCCACTCCCTCACTTCTTAGTCAAACCAAATACATTCTTATTTCTTTTATTCTCCTCCAAGCATCTGCTCATGCGATTTCTTATTCATAAAATGCTCTTCTCCTGTCTCTGCCTCTCAGAACCCAGCCATCGTCACCAATGAAACTATTCTGGTTTCTCCCACCATCCTCCTCATCCTGCCCCCTGCACCCCCTCACACCTTTCCCTTGTCAGAAGGGTCATATTGACCCGTTCCTTGGTTCCTCTCTGGCATGGCCCCTAAAGTAATGTGTGTGGCCTTGTTAATCTCCTTGGGGTCAGGAACTATCTCAGAATCATCTTTACCTCACACTGCAACTGCAGAATCCCGAGGGTGTACTTGAGAGGGACTGGGGGTGGCAGTATTTATTCCACTGGGTGCCTTAAGATATACACACCTTCCGCCAGTGCTGTGCACCCTATCCACCTTTGGGATCTGTCCCATAGGTCAACTGTCCATCTTTAACTCTTGATTTTCAAGGACACAACTTTTTCTGCGCAATTAGTTCGTACTAATTAATTAACAAGTGAATGAAGGGGCTCATTACCCTTCTTTCTCTGAGCCAGGGCCACGGGGAATGAAAATCTGTGATGATCTTCTCTTGAGCTAAGAAGACAAGGGATCCAGAGATAATCTCCCCCAACAGCATGTCTTGGAGAGTGTTTGCAATTCCAAGAGCTCCTCCATTTCATTGAGTTCATCCCACCCCACCCCTAGTTTGACAGATCACCTCCTCCGAATGACAAACACCCCAATCAACCAGAGTCTCCGTGGGTGGCCCAACCAGTTTTGGTGACACAGGGAGGTACTGGCACATCATATCAGCCAGTGCTGCCAGAACAAAGCCAGGTTTTATTGAAGAGTGGGCATCCTTATCTGACCTGACACAATGTCAGCCACACAGCTGGCAAGCCCGGGGCTGCCATTCCTCAACCTTGATGCGCCTTGATGCGCCAAAGAAACTGGTTCTTTAGCTCTGCTACCCCCACAATGCCAGGCTGCCATACTGAAGACACCCTTTACCTCAGGAAGCCCCCTTGCTTCCAGAATGCATTTTCTCCCCCCTTGGGGAGCTGCTTGAGGGCCACTGGTGCAACCCATTGTCCCTGCATCTGTAGGTGCCCTGTTCAGCCCAGTGACTGTGTCTGTGGGTGTCCTGTCATCCGTGTCCCTGGAGGCGGTGAGTGAGGAAACGCCTGAGGGAGGTGAAGAACCTTCCCAAAGGCTTTCTGGAGGACACAACTTTTTCTGCGCAATTAGTTCGTACTAATTAATTAACAAGTGAATGAAGGGGCTCATTACCCTTCTTTCTCTGAGCCAGGGCCACGGGCAAGAATGGCAGGAATGAAGAGCCCACAAAGGAGAACTGATAGTGCATAATCAGTTCCAATTAGCCATGCTAATGCCCGGCAACAGAGGTGCCAAACACCCTCATCTCCAAGGTTCCAGAGTTCTTGGCAACTGTTTGACGTCTCGGTGTTTTCCTCTCTGCCTCATGCCAGTGCTACTAATAGTAACATTGCCCATCAGTTGTGGGGTTCCCACACAAGTGCTCTACACAGGCACATGCACCAAAAACTGTGCCATCTCAGAGGGATGCCGGAGGATGGGCAGCCTCGTCATGCACGTTCTGCATTCAGGAGAACCACCACAGAGAGGTTTAGTAACTCCGGTTGCAGTCAAGGTCTGTGTGCCAAGCCTAGGATTCCAGAACCTTCCTATGATGTGCTTCCCATACTCCAGGCATAGACCCTGTGTGATTGAGATCACTGCCCTCATCATTAGGGGGCTGTGCGTGGCTACTACTGCCCTTCACATTTCCCCCAGGATCCTTTGGTGGGAGGCAACCTGCACCAACACAGTTCCCAGCACACTGTGTTCTTTGTAAGAAACTAAAGCACCCACTCTTGGCTGAACGCAAGCCAAGAACTGAGACTCAAGGTGCTCCATGAGTGTGTGCCCCAGAATGAACCCACAGCTGCCTCCATTTCCAGATGCTTTTTATGGTCTGAACATTTTGAACATGTTTAAAGAGTCTCATTCTGATGAGAAGTAATGGGTGAACAGGCATCAGGGCTTCAGTCATGCTGGTGATCCAGGTGAGGACATCCATCCAACCAGCCAGCCAGCCAGCCAGCCACACATCCAAAACACAGACTCAACAACACTGAAGACATGAGCTCTAAGCTGCAACCACTAGAACTCTGTGATGATCTTGTCAAGACGACAGGTAGGGGTTGGGGCGGGGAGGGAATATGGGAACGCTGATGGAGGGAAACTGGTGTTGAAATATATGCCTAAAACTCAACTATCAATAACTTTATAAAACACAGTTCTTTAATTTAAAAAAATGAAGAGAGAATCTGCCAACCCCGTGCCAGACTGTCTTCACCGGGGCATCTCGGAGGGGGACAGGTTGGGTTTCCCTCCTACCCCAAGAAGAGCTACAGCAGCTGAAAACCTCCAGAACCCAGCTGCAGCCATGCTCAAGGCCACTCTCCACACGCTCAGACAAGCCTCACCCATGAAGGAACCGACAGAGGAACCCAGGTATGCGGGACCCGTGGCTGAGATCTCCAAGTCTGCTTGGATCGAGACAGGGCCTCCTCCACCCAAGTCCCCAGTTTTCCAGTAGCTTGGCAGTCACACCCACAAACTGCCCCCGTGCTATGTAATCTCATCAATAGCCAAGATCCAGAGACTATAAAATAAAGCTCCCGGATGAGAGCAACACACTATTTCCTGGAGTTGGCAGATGCATTCTCGCCCATGCAACCTCTTATACTCTAGCCCACTGATGTACCTAAAGTAGCACATGTGTTTGGCTTTAACATAATTTCTTGTATTCTTTTATATATGGGCTTAAATGGCCCCAGAATGAAATACAACAACCTTCATACACTTCCCTCTTATTCTGGTGGGAAGATGCTCGCTGGTTGAGTGGATGTTTGAATATTATCTGTAATGAACTATTATGAACTACTTTATGAAAATAAAATGTATAAAAATTGTAAAAAAATGCAGAGGGATAGAAAGAAAGAAAGAAAGAAAGAAAGAAAGAAAGAAAGAAAGAAAGAGGAAGAGAGGGAAGGAGGGAGGAAGGAAGGAAGGAAGGAAGGAAGGAAGGAAGGAAGGAAGGAAGGGAGGAAGGAAGGGAGGAAGGAAGGGAGAAAAGAAGGAAGGAAGGAAGAGAGGGAGGGAAGGAGGGAGGGAGGAAAGGAAGGATGGAAGGAAGGAAGGAAGGAAGGAAGGAAGGGAGGGAGGGAGAAAAGAAAGAAGGAAGAAAAAAGGAAGGAAGGAGGAAGAAAGGAAGGAAGGAAGGAAGGAAGGAAGGAAGGAAGGAAGGAAGGAAGGAAGGAAGGAGTGAATCTCATTCTGGGGCCAAAGAGCTAGTACAGCACGTAAAGTGCTTGCTTGCATACAGATGATCCCGGTTCAAATCCCTAGCAGCACACATGGTCATCTGAGCACCATCAGGTGTGATCCCTGAGCATAGAGGCAGGAAAAAGGTTTGAGCACCATCAAGTGTGAACTCCTCCTGAAAAAAATAAAAAGAAAGAAAGAAATACACCAAATCAAATCCTAAAAAGTCTTATTCTAGTGCTTGAAGACAGATGCATATGGTCTTCACAGCAGCCAGCTACTCCATGAGCACAACCAAAGAACATTTCTTTCTATGCTGGAGAAAGACCTGTCTAGCACTGGCCTTGTGATTTATTTCCATTTGGGTCTACACTTAGGAATCAGTCCTGTAAGTGCTCGGGGAACCATATGGGATGCTGGGATCAAACCCATGGCCTTGTGATTTATTTCCATTTGGGGCCCTTCCTGCTGGATCTTCCAGAATAATTTTATTTTACGCAGCTTATGGGCAAGTGCGAACCTGAGGATCTAGCGTCTCTCTGTGGCTCTCTCCCCTCCCCTTCCTGACTCCCACGGGTCCCGCATACCTGGGTTCCTCTGTTGTTCCTTCCCAACTGTTTCTCCCCCCAGTGCCAGTGGTTGGGCCCGTGAGGGAAGCCTGAGGGGTGGGGGGCTAATTGGGGGGGGGGGGGGACCCAGGCAGCCTGAGAACTTGCCAGACTTTTCTTTGGCTGCATTGCACAAGGTTAAACGCAGGCCTGGAGTCTGGCTGACTTCCTCTCTGCTGCTTCCCCAAAGAGTCAGTGAACCCCTCCAGCTGTTTTCTCAGGGGCCCACCCCCACCCACCCCCAATGTGAAGATCCAGATGAGCACATGAGCGTGGGTAGGAGGTGAGGCCCAGCCCTGTTTGCTGCATCCCGGACACACCCAGGGTTTTTGGGAGCCAAGGGGGTGAACCTGGGGGTCCTGGTGAACAGGTAGTGGAGAGCCTGGACTCCTGGGACAGGAAGAGCTGGGTCCGGGCTCGGGGAGGCAGGACTGGGGACAGGCCTTGCCCTCTCCTCTGCTGTCCTGCTCCTGTCACACCCTGTGGTCTTGCAGTGCCCACCCCCTCTGCTCCCTCGAAGCTGCCCTTGAGCATCTTTGCCTACACCCGCTCCAGGAAGACTTCCTGGGTTGCTCCCACAAGATTCTGAATCTTCCTTTCATGCTTGAACTCGCAGCTGCTTAGTGAAGCCGTGAGAACTGGCTCTGGGAATCAAGGGTGGACAGGGGCCTGGTTGCATACATTGCAGCAGCAGAGGAGACAGATCATAAGCTAACATGTAGGGCCCGGGGTCCTTCCTGAGCACAGGAAACTCAGAGGGAGAAGACAAAGCAAAGGTGGAGAGATGGGCCAGGTGGGAGAGATCAGCCAGGTGGAGAGAACAGCCAGCTACCCTCGGTCAGGTGGGCTTAGAGCTTTGGGACATTTACTTTGTTTTTGTTTGGGGTCCATGCCCAACAGTGCTCAGGGGTTACTTCTGGGTCTACACTTAGGAATCAGTCCTGTAAGTGCTCGGGGAACCATATGGGATGCTGGGATCAAACCCTTGTGATTTATTTCCATTTGGGGCCCTTCCTGCTGGATCTTCCAGAATAATTTTATTTTATGCAGCTTATGGGCAAGTGCGAACCTGAGGATCTAGCGTCTCTCTGTGGCTCTCTTCTCTCCACTTCCTGACATGTAGGGCCCGGGGTCAGCCGCAGGTAAAGCAAACTCCCTACCCACTGTATTGTCACTATACTCAGGAATTTAGACCCAGGGCAGCACAGTCGTTAAGGGACCAGCCTTGGGGTCCTGGGGTTCAGGGGCAGCCTCCCCCCACCCCCCAACCCATCTCCCAGGCCCTCTCCCAGCTGATCCAGGATGATATGCAGCACTATTGAGAGTGAACTAGCTGAGATCCAGAGCTGGTGAGGGACAGGCGGGATTCTGTAGACTCCCCCTGGTTACGAGGGAAGAAAGCATCTTGGGGCAGGGGGGGAATAACACTTGAGAGGTTTTAAAGAGGGAGGCACCCTGCTTTACACGCCGGTGCTTGGTGCTTTTCACACAGAGAATCTTCTGCACCAGGACTCAGCTCAGGGAGAGGCACTGGAAGGTCCTGGGGCCCCAGAAGCGCAGTGGTGCCTCAGTTCCCCCTCTATGCCTGAGCCATGGGCGCTCCAGCACTCTCCAAGTGCTCGGTCAGCGCTTGACCGGTGGCCAGCACTGGGCCTGGGTCCCTGGAGGCGCCAAGATTGCAAGCAGAGCCCTGACCGGGACAGCTGTCTCAGAGGATCCTGAATGGGGTGTGTCCCCCACTCCTGCCTCCTCCAAGCCTCAGTGCTTTTCCTGGATAAGGTCTCCCCCTCCTGGCGAGGCGGGGACACAGTCTGGCCTCAGTCCTGCAGCCTGGGCCTGGTTTCCCCACACACACAGTCCCTGGTGAACAGACCCTGGCAGAGTCTTTGTTACCGAGGCAGAAACTGAGGCACTGTGGGGGTCTCCTTGTTGGCCAGCTAGCCTGGGTCTCTAGCCTCGGGGGGTAGGGGGGGAGACAGACACAACATCACCTGCCCCCCAAACCTGTCTGCCCTCCTCCCTGGCTTGAATGCTAAGACAGTGAAGAATCATGGCAAAAGACTCGGGGAAACAAGATTCGTGCTTTATTTCCACAGACTCAGAAGAAGGAGGTTCCTCCCGGCCCTGGGAATTGCCGTGTTGCAGTCAGGTTGACAAACGCGGACGGATAAGAAGGCGCCTTTCGTCCCAGGAGGCTGGTGGCCAGAGAGGAGGAACGTAGGGACCCACCGACCAGGCCTCCCATGGAGATAAAGCCTGGGGGAGCCGGAGGGCAGCGTGGTGAGGCTCCGGGGTGATGGAATTTTCGGGGCCTCAGTTGGGATTGGAAGCACGTTTCTAGGAGAAAAGAAGAGAATAGAAGGTAGGAGACGGCCGGCCCCTCTGTCAACACCAGAGAGACCTTGTGTTCCCCATCACCCCGTCCTGTCCATGGTGGATTCCACTTGCCCATCCCCCCACCCCAGGCTCCTCTGGAAAACACCTTTCGGGACTCCAGTGACCCTGGGGATTCCCTTGCTGCCTCCAGGGGCCACCCTCTGAAAAGTCCCACCCCTTTCTGTGGATCCCGGCCCCCTCTGCCAGACCTCCCCTGCCCAAAGAGTGTTCCTGAGGAGAAGCTTCCTTCTGGGCCTTTCTCCTCTGCCCATACTGGGTGTGCCCCCTTCTTGAGTCCCCTAGCACGCCTACCCGATACAGAGGACAGGCAAGCCCCCCCCCCGCCCAACCTGGACCCCCGATACTCACCTACCAGAACTTCAGCCACCCCAGCAGGCCAGGCTGCACCCGGGAAGCCTGCGGGGCAAGGGAGTGGATCTGAGTGACCCCAGCTCTGTCCCCTACACTGCCTCCCGCTTCAGTCCCTCTCTCAGGCACCATGCCGTCCCTGGCCCCCAGACTTACTGAGGAAGTAGGCGAAGCTCCCCCCTGTAAAGAGAAAATCCATTAGAGCATTGGGTGCTGCCAAGGATGACCCATAAGCTGCCTGAGCCCAGCCAAGCCCTGCGGGGCCCAACTGGCCGCTACCAAAGGCCCTGGGGCGCCTCGGGGACCGAGGCTCCTCCTGGAACAGCCATCAGGCCTTGTGACTTCCCTGATGCTGCCCTTGGGCCCTGAGTAGCCCCAGGGTAGAGCCGGGCACTGGGGCAAGGGCGGAGGCGCCCATGCCTGCCAGGAGGGTGGGCTTGGCGGGGGGGATACCCACACGTGGTCTTCGCCTCCTCAGTGCATGGGCACGGTCTCAGGAGCAGTCCTCTCCCCGGGGCCCTTACGGCTCTGAGACATGGAGGAAAGGCCCGTGTCCCCTTTTCTGCCTCTTGTCAGCAGCGAGCCCTCTAGCTGCGTTCCCGGCCTGTCTGTATCTGTGCCCAGTTCTGTCCCCTGGAAGGAAGCACGCCCAGCGCCCGGTCCACGCCGGGCCAGCTTTCTCCTAAGGGCCAGCGAGCCCCCTGCAGCCCCCAAGGAGAGGAAGGCTGGTTGACTTTCCTCTTGGGAGGCTCTTGGAGTCCAGTTCTCTCCATGGTGGGAGGCGAGTCTTTCCTCACCTCCCTCCCTCCAAACCGTCTCCCAGGAAGCCTCCGTTGGAGGGGTGGGAACCCCCATGCCCCCCCCCAGCAGGAACCCCAGGGGCAAAGACGGGTGATGTCGTACCTTGGCAGGGACGTTGTTGTTCGGGTACGGGTACGGGTACTGCGCCCCCGGGGCAGTGGGGTAAGGCTGCGGGTAGTAGTTGTAGTTCTGCTGCGGGGAGCAGAGGGGGAGGAGGGGGAGCGTGTTGCTTCAGATGGAGACCCCTGAGCTGGCTGCTCCTTTCTCAGAGCCCCGCCCTCTCCCCTGCCTCGCTGGCATCCCCCCAGCACCTCCCTCAGTGCCCCCAGGACCCACAGTCCCTCCTCACTGAGACCCGCCTGGGCCTCCCGGAGAGGGCAGAGGCTCACCTGGGCAGCCCTGCTGGCCCTCTTCCGGACAGATGGGGCCTCTGCGCCCTGGAAGGGAGAGAGAGCAGGTCAGGGCGGCATGGGGTCCCTGCCCACCGCACCCCAGCTCTCCCCGTGCTCCTCAGTCAGTGCTGCCCACGGAGAAGATGGTGAGGAAACTGATGGCCCCAATAGATAGCAGCGCCCAGATTTCCACACTCTGACAGTGGGGGCGGGAAGCCAAGGCAGAGAACCGGCTCGGGCGCCACCGCCCGTCATGGGAGCGCAGGCCTGAGACTAGGCAGGACAGCAAGAGCACAGACACACGGACTCCCTGCCATCAGGGCAGCTCTAGCCCACAGGGCTAACCCCAAACCCTGCCCCCTCACAACCCCTGTCCTCCACAGAGTGCAGGGACGCTGGCGGGGCGGCCCACAGGCTTAGGTGAGGGGTACAGGGTTAGCGCTGGGCTCCAGGAGAGGAAGGAAGGGGCGAGTAGCGAGAAAGAGGGGAGAATCCGATGCCTGAGCTCCTACACCCCAATCCCTCAGCCCTGCCCCGCACTAGAACCAAGAGGAAGGAGAGTCTGATTCTGGCCCCTGTCACATCTCGACCAGGAAGATACATGCGCGTGTGCACAGACACACACACACGTGCACACACAAAGGCATGCACACACACATACACATATGTGCACACATACATACACACAGAGGCACACACAGAGACATGCACACGTGCACACACACATGCACACACAGAGGCATGCACACACGTGCACACACACATGCATACATATACACATGCACACACAGGGACAAGGCTAGGTTAGCGCCTCCCCTCCCTCTCTCTGCCTGCCCCACACCCCCCACTAGACCCCACTCAGTCAGCCCTGGCCCTGCTCCTGGAGTAGCAATGAAAGATCCCATTTCCAGACTTTCTGAGGAGTCAGACCCCGTGTGCCTGGCCACACTCAGTGCGAGGGCCTTGCCCCCCACTTTCCAACCTGCCCCCCAACCTCTGTGCCCAAGGCTCCTGGCCACACAGGATCGAGGTGGTCGAAACTGCCCATCCCCCCCAGAACCCAGATGTTCACACCTGCACCAGCTGCACCTCAACCTTCCCCTGAGCATTAACCCCAGGCCCAGGCCCTGCCTCGTCCCCACCTCCTGGTTTCTGCTGTCCCTGTCAGCTGCTGTGGCTCCCCAGCCAGGCTGCACCCCGCCAGAGAGACAGAGCAGAGAGAGTGAGGACTGCAAACCCCCACCCTTGGCTTTGATCTAGGGGCTCACTTGGCTCTGGGGGGAGAGCGGCTGCTGCTCTTACCTGCACGATGGCTTTCCAGTTCAGGAAAGGCGTGTTGTGTTTGAAATCCTGGAGGGAGAAGGAGAGAGGAATGGGGGCCCCTGGGGGAAGAATGCAGAGGGTAGGGGCCCCAGGGGAGAGGTGGATGAACAGGGCTGAGCCGCCTGGGGGACCTGCAGAACTAGGTTGAGGCACCAGGGGGCAGTGTGGAGCTGAGCGAGGACCTGGTCTGTTGGGGCTGGGAGCACGGAATTTGAGCAACTCTATGACCAGGCCCGGTCAGTGGTCAATAGACGTAGAGAGGATATTCAACTTTTCATTTGAATCTTCGTTTTCCCTCGAGGGGGGATTTTCGCCAGTGTTGGGGCATGGGAGCTGGCATTGCGGGGGGCGCGGGGAGGGATGGGGCCCAGGACCTCCCTTCTTCACCACACCAGGCTTTCCCGTACCTCCCAGAGGCGGCTGAAGTAGAGGAGCGCTCGGGTGCTGGGGGCCGGCCCCTGGCCCTGTGGGTGAAAGGCGGGGTGCAGCAGCAGGTTAGAGGGAGACTCGTCTGCCCCCCAGCAAGGCCCTCCTCCAATCCCCACCGTGTCTCAGCTCCAGGATTGGGTGTTGGGGTCTGGACAGAAGTTGGCTGCCTCCAGATCGCCCGGAACCCATGTTCTCAAACAGAGGGGCAGAGGCTAGATCTCTGGGGTCATCATCCCACCTTCCTCTGGCAGGGCATGCTCGGTGAGCAAGCGCCCCTCTCTGCTCGCTCCCCTGTCCCCTGACAGAACAAGGCTGCCACAAAACCTCAGGATGAAACCTGCCATGCCGCCTGATGTCTCAAGGCTGGGGGCTGAGGATGCTCCTTCCATGACTCCAGGACACAGAGAGACAAGGCCAGGAGCACGGGGCAGCCCAGGGTTATTTTAGGGCAAGTATTTTCTCCAAAAGGGACGGGGGCTCGGTGACAGTCTGGGGCTGGGGAACAAGTGGGCCAGGCCAGGGACTTTCAGCCCGGAGGTCATAGGTCAGATCTGGATCTCCTCACCTGCTGGGCCCCTCTCCCTCATTCTGACTGGTCCTCACCCCTCATTCAGACTGAGGTGCTCAGCTGCCTCAGCCCCCCAAGGGGAAGGAGTTGGGGTGCTCCTTCTCTGCCCGGCCCCTCTTCCTAGGCTTCTCCAAAAAAAAGTCCCTGAGGGGCTGGAGCAATAGCACAATGGGTAGGGCACACATGCAGGGCTCCAGGAGAGGAAGGAAGGAGTGGGTAGTGAGAAAGAGGGGAGAATCCGATACCTGAGCTCCTACACCCCAGCCCCTCGGCCCTGCCCCGCATCAGAACCAAGAGGAAGAAGAGTTTGATTCTGGCCCCTGTCACATGTGACACCTTACACGAGGCCAACCCGGGTTCGATTCCCAGCATCCCATATGGTCCCCTGAGCACGGCCGGGTTAATTCCTGAGTGCAGAGTCAGAAGTAACCCCTGTGCATTGCCGGATGTGATCCCCCCCCTCAAAAAAAAGCAAATAAAAAAGTCCCTGAAATGAGCCTTTTCTAACTAGGGACCCTCACTGCCTAGCACCCCCAACCCCCGTGTGCCAGAAGGTTTGGCTGTCTGTCCTTGCTCTCTTGGAGGTGTCTGTCTGTGCCCAGGTTCTCCCATCAGACCCCAAGTCTCCATGTTCGGAGCCTGGGTCTCCCCATGTCTGGTCCCTGGGCACTCTGGAAGGAAAACTGAGGTAGTGGCTCCTCTTGAGGGAGCTCAGCTGCAGCTCAGGATGTCCCACCCCCGCACAGCCCCCTCTGGTGCCAAGGGCAGAGTTTGCCTTTCCTGAGGCGTGAGAGGTCTTTCTGCACACCCTCCTCCCAAGCTCACACAAGGAGTTCAGTCTTGAGAGCTGACCCCTTCCTGAGTTCAGTGTGGCCCAGAGCAGGTGGCCTGCGGGGCTGGGTGTGGTAGTGTCCTGGGGTACAATTGGGAGGCACTTCCTGTTTTCTTAAAGATGGAAGAGTTTCAATGGTTGCTGGGTAGAACCCTCTGCTCCAGGAAAAGGGTTTGAAACAGACGCTCACGGTCCCAGGGAGATGGCTAGAACAACTGGTGGGTTGGGGGGTCCCCTAACCCCCAAGGTCAGAGCAGCTGCCACTCAGCTGCAGTTGATTCTCATCCACCCTGGAAAAGATGGTTCCAGGTGGCCCAATTTTCAAAAGAATTCCCAATTTTGGCTTGGAGCCAAAGTACAGTGGGTAGGGAGCTTGCCTTGCATGCAGCCGACCAGGGTTTGATCCCTAGCATCCCATATGGTCCCCTGAACCCAACAGGAGTGATCCCTGGGCACAGATGCAGAAGTAAGCCCTGAGCACCACCAGGTATGGCCCAATACTCCCTCCCAAAGCTCCCCCAAAAAAATACGCACAAAGGAAAAAAAAAAGATGTCCCAATTCACAATATTCCACATTGCCAAATCTCTCAATCATTAAACTTGGGCAGCTAATTCACTCTGTGGGAAGGACAAGGGTGGAACCGAGCCTGTCCGTGTTTGGAGTGTTTGTCTACCTTCATCCCTCCTCCCCATCCAACCCTTCTCTCCAAACACCCATCTGCAAGTCTGATATCACAAAACTTCTGCAAGCAAGAGGGATGCAGGGAGGAATGAAAGGGGTTCTGGGCCCCGGCAGTGATGGTCCGGGGTCAGATGCTGCACCTGAGGTGTGGCATACATCAGGCACTAGAAGTGTCACTGCTCCCCAGGGGCCCTCTGGCTCCATGAGACTGTGAGTCAGCCCTCCTACTCCCCTTTTGGCCTTGCGTATCTCCAAGGGGACACAGGTTCAGTCCTGCTCAGGTCTGTACATTCCCTTTGCTGCCTCTAACCTAACTCCCAGCTGCCACCAACTTCTCCCTCTTTCCAGGTCTCTTTTTGATGAAAGATTCTAAGGCCTCCTCGTTTTTCATCTGTCTGCTAATCTCTGGCCACATGCTCCCGGCAGTGGCTCCTTGTTTCCCAAAGCCAGAGGTTTGCATCCTTCTCCTTCGCCCTCTTCCACAAAGAAGGGACATGCATGGCCTTCCAGTCCTTACCTTGTTGATGGCATCCCAGTTAATGAAACCCAGTTTGGACTTCAAATTCTGCAAGGTGGTTAAAACAAAACAAAACGAAACAAAAACATGCAGTGAGTTGACTCAGGGGCTGAGGATGAGAGGTCAAGGGTCAACACTGACTCATGTGATAGGAAGAGGACCCAGGCCAATGGACCTAGGATGGGGGTTCTGGTTTTTTTCCAAAGGAGGGAGCAGAGCAGTCCTTAAGGACTCACCTTCCAGAAAGTGTCAAAGTCGAAGATCCCGGAAGAGGTCCGAGAGTTCTAGGGAAAACAGGCAGGAGAATCAAAACTGGCTCTGGGTGCCAGGGCAGGGTGGGGCAGGGCAGGGCGGGGCAGAGCTGTGTGGGTTAGACCTGGCCCAGGAAGGAGTGACCCCCGGCTCACCATGGCACTGAGGCCCTCGGCAGGTACACCTCCTCCGTAGTAGTTCTGCCCCTGGGGGGAGAGGAGCGATGCCTTCAAAACCAGTCACCAGGCCCCTCTCTGCCGCTGCCCAAGTCCCATATAATCACCACAGCCCCCACCCCCACCCCTGCACAGCACTGAAGCACCCAAAAGAGCCCCACAAACGCCTTCCCGTCACCCCTTGCTCTTTGCTTCCCTACTGGGTTCCTTGAATCAGATTGAAATGCTGCCACCTCTGTCCCCTATCCACCAACACAGCTAAGCCGAGAGCAGCTGTGCATGGTCCACACAGTGCTAGCCCCCTGCCTTAGCTGCCACCTCCAGCTACTCCCTCGGGCTCTGTCTGTGCCCTCCACAATGTTCCAGGATGAGTGTGTGGGAAACTCGGCAGGCCTGGCACTTGTACGGCTTACTGTCCCGTTTCAAAGGAGGAAGCCCAAGCTCAGAGAGAGCCTCTGAGTCATCTCAAGACCCGACAATGAGGGCAAGAGCAATAGTACAGCGGGGAGGGCGTTTGCCTTGCACATGGTCGGCCCAGGTTCGATCCCCGGCATCCCATATGGTCCCCAAGCACTGCCAGGACTAATTCTTGAGTAGAGCCAGGAGTAATTCCTGAGCATCAGTGGGTGTAACCCAAAAAAGCAAAAAGAAAAAAAAAACAGACAATGAGCATTAAACCAGGTATCTGAACCAACCCCATTTTCTATCTCAAGATGCACTGCGGGTCCATCACTGCCTACTTCAGGGTGCTTTCCACAGGTCTGTGAAGGTAGCTCATGTGTGTAGAAGAGCATCCACCTAACATGTACAAGGCTCTGAGTTCAAACCCTGGTGTGATGGTATTTTTAAAAGAAAAAAAAAACCTTATATGAAGCAGTAGTACAGCAGGTAGGGCGTTTGCCCTGCACACTGCTGACCTGGGCTCAATCCCCAGCATCCCATATGGTCCTCTGAGCACCACCAGGGGTAGTCCCTGAGTCAGAGTGAGGAGTCAGCCCTGAGCATTGCTGGGTGTGGCCCAAAATCAAACAAACAAAAATCACCCCTTGTTGCTGGAGAGATAGTACAGCAAACAGAGCATTCGCCTTGCATGCATCCAACGAGAGTTCAATTCCTGGCACCTCATATGGTCTCCAAGCCCCTCTGGAAGTGATCCCTGAGTGCGGAACAGGGATTAAGCCCTGAGCAACAACTGGGTGTGGCCAAAACAACAGCAACAACAAAATAAATAGATAGATAGATAGACAGAGAGACAGACAGACAGATAGATAGATAGAGATAAATTTTTACAGAAAAGTGCCAGAATGAGCCTAGCATCTGAATGATAATCATTGTTTTGCTGTCACCCCTCAGGGCTTCAGGGGGATACAGGGTGGCAGTAGATTTTTAAAACATGGGTCCACTTGCCTTGTATGCGGCCAACCTGGATTTGATGCCCAGCATCCCCTATGGTCCCCTGAGCACTGCCAGGAGTGATTCCTGTGTGCAGAGCCAGGAGTAACCCCTGAGCACACTAGGTGTGCCCCAAAAAAGGAAAAGAAAATGTAAAACGCCCCGATTTTTCTTCAGTTGCTTCTGCCATTCCCTCCCTTGCAGCTGTATGCCTCAGCACTGTCACTGGGTGGGGGTGCACTACAGAGGGGTGTGGTCACCTCCATTTGACCTCCCTGCCAGATGGCCACCTGACACAGAGCAGCCTGCCAGAAATAGGTATTTCTGCTTCCTTTCCAAACCCTGGACATTTGTCACTACAGCAGCTCTGGGAATCACCTGGTAATTGCCTTGGGGGTTCGCAAAGAGGCGGCCACCATCTTGGATGAATTCCTGGGGAGAAAAAACTCTGATAAGAGTCGGAGAGGAAGTGGCAGGATGCGGGTCAAGAGGGCAGGACAGCAGGACAGGGCAGAGGGGGCTCTGAATGGGGAATCAAGGTCCCGAAAGGGTGTGGCCCCGAGAGAACCCCCCCTCCCGCCCCTTGCTCCCTTCCGCAGTCTGTGGGACTGTGACCATGTTCACTAATGACTTTTCCCGCATGCCGCCCAGAGCCCACCCTGAGGGGCAACGCCCCTGCATCTGTCTTCTCCCCCCACTTGAAGGCAGGAAGCAGCCAGCCTGAGGCCGGCCGTGCCAGGGTTCTGCATCAGTCAGGAGGTCCCTGCCATCCTGAGGGTTGTGGGAGAGGGCTCAGAGCACCCCCCTTCAGAGTTCGGGGTGAACCCCAGCCCTCCTCGTTCCCACAGCTGAGCATGACACCCAGAGAGCAGATGCGGGAAACGAGCTCCTGGAGGGTGACCCTTGCCCCAGTCCCCCTTCAAAGTCTCCTTACCCTGCCGTAGCCAGCGCCGTAGCCAGCTCCATTGCCACCACCGTTGCCACCACCGTTGCCACCGCCGCCACTGCCACCCTGAATCCCCCTGACGCCCTGAGAAGTGACAGCGAAACAAGGATTAGCGCTCAAATGCCAGGCTCGCCGGGCACACTTCTGTAAGCCCTTTGATAAGACTCCCCTAAAAATCCTCACTCGCTCTCTGAGACTTGTCAAAATCATTCTCAAGTTCCACTGGGGCCAGGAACCATGGAGACGGGGAGAAAAGTGCCACCGCAACTAACCACCGGTCCCAACGCATCCCTGGCAGCAGGTGGGGGAGTAGCCTGCCAGGGGCCTGTTCGGGTTTGGTTTTTTGTTTGTTTTTTGCTTTTTGGGTCACACCTAGTGATGCACAGGAGTTACTCCTGGCTCTGCACTCAGGAATTACCCCTGGCGGTGCTCAAGGGACCATATGGGATGCTGAGAGAATCAAACCTGGGTCGGCCACATCCAAGGCAAATGCCCTACCCACTGTGCTATTGCTCCAGCCCCGGGGCTTGGTGTTTTAGTCTGTTTTAGGGCCTCACTGATGATGCTCTGGGTTTACTCCTGGTTCAGTGCTCAGGCATCACTCCTGGAGGGTGCTTAGGGAACGCTATGTGGTGCTGGGATTCAAACCCAGGTTTGGTAGTATGCAAGGCAATCGTACGCAATGTACTATCTCTCCGGCCACCTCAGGTGACCTTTAAAACTGGTGGTGGGGATGGTGGTCTTATCAGTTGGTCTTATCAGTCTCCCCCCATTTCTGTCTTTATCTGGCCTTTCCCCACTTGGGAACACCCCAAGATGCTTCAGGGTGTAGTGTAAATTGAGTGGAGGCGTGGGACGAAAATTGTACAACCAGCAAGTAAAAGTCAGATGATTACAGAGTGAGACGAAAACCCTGACATTATAGCGGTCTTAGAAGTCCCCGAGGGAAGTAGCGGCCTTCACTTCCAGGAGTCTCATCCATAAAGGGGACCGATTCACCTCACGACCCTGTGCAAAGCTTTGTACGTTAAAAACTTAACGCAAGGGGGCAAATTGGGAGAATTAGCTTCAAAACCTGAGAGGTCAGTGCCCCAGTCTGGAAGGAGCTGCTTCGAAGGGCTGGTGTGATCATACAGCCAGTATAGTGCATGTCTTGCACGCAGCCTACCCAAGTTGGATCCCCAGCATCCTGGCATCCCATATGGTGCCCCACTCCCTTCCAGGAGTGATTACTGAGCACAGAGCCTAGAGTAAGCCCTGAGCATCACTGGACTGGCCTAAAAACTAAAACAAAACAGAAGCTGCTCAGAGAGCCCTCCAGGAGCCCCCATGGCTGCACGGGTCCCTCTCCCCCTGGCCGTGGCCCCGGCGGGCACCCCCACCCACTCATCAGGGAAGACTGGCTTTACTGAGCGTGTTAGGAGCCAGGCCCTCGGCCCCACCCAGGCCACTGAATCAGAGCCTGGATTTTCACAAGCTCTCTTGGTGGCTCCTGGAACAGAGCATCACCCCGCCTCGATCAATGCGGCTGAGCTGCAGGAAAGCCCAGATTTCCAGAAAAACCGGAGACCTTTCCAAACACCGTTTCAAAACTCCCTTGAGGAGGTCACTAAACGCTGCTCCCTGGCCAGGAGTGGAACGTTCCAGATGATTCTGTTCATTCAAGGACAGGATTTCATGGGCGTTTTCATACCCGCTCGGTGGCTTACTCCCCAGGCAAGGTGCGTCACAGAAGGCTTCGCAATTAAACTGTGACAGTGGAGACGGTATTTCTGGGTGTGTGTGTGTGTGTGTGTGTGTGTGTGTGTGTGTGTGTGTGTGTGTTTGTATGTTTCGTTTTGTGGCCCTGGATGGTACATGTCCCCCCACACTGGGCTGGAGGCCACGCTTAGCATTAGCTGCCGAGTCAGAGGAGCAGGCTCAGCTGGAGACACCCCCGGTCTGGCACTCACCTGACCCCCAGATCCTCCAAACACACGAACTTCGTTCTCTGGGTTCTCACACTGCAGGACAGAGCGGGGAGACTTCCTCAGTTCCCACCCAGCCCCAATGCCAGTCCCCGTCCGCCCGCCGCCCCCACATTACAGCCTTTTGTTTTTACAAAGTTTTTGCTGCTGTTTGTTTTGAGACCTCGGTGATGCTCAGGGCTTACTCCCGGCCCAGTGCTCAGGGATCATTCCTGGAGGTGCTGGGGGGACCATATGGGGTGCCGGGGATACGGACACGGGTTGGCCACGTGCAAGGCAAGTGCCCTCCTCGCTGTACTGTCACTTTGACTCCTCATTGGAGCGTTTTTATAGGACTCGTCTCTTTCACCCTGACAGCTGTCCACTGCCACCCTCAACGTCCCCTCTCCCTCTCCCATCACCCGGCACAGTTTGGGGGAGACCTGTGCAAGGGGTCATTCCTCAGACACTCACCCCAGGTATGTTTCCACCATCGTTGCCGCCGTTGCTGCCCGAGGAAGAGCCAGAATTGGAGCCCTGTGAGGGAGAGCAAGAGTCCATCTGGGGCCCCGGGGTGCTCAGGGAACAACGCCATGCAGGGAACCAAGCCATATGGGTGGGCCACATGACACGCAAGGCCTGTGCCTTAATCCCTGTGCTATCGCTCTGGTCCCCCAACAAAATTGTTCCCAAGGGAGCCCTGACCTTGGCACCTCTTCCCCCCAACCTCTAACCTGCTCCTCAAGCTTGATGGAGGAGGCCAGGCAGGGCCAAGGGCATTTGAAAACATGGGACAATTCTGGAATCCCAGCTGCTGCCCCCTAACCTCCCCTGCATGCATGGGGGGGGGAGATTAGGGGGTAAGGCCTCCTCTCACCTCACCCCTGCCCTCTCACCCTCTCCTGGGAATCCAAAAAGGGGAAGGATTTCCTAAAGTCCTTACTTGGGATTCTATAGTTGCTTTGATAAAACAGTTCTAGAATTTTCTCTTTTTCGGAGCGGGGGATGAACTGGGGGCCACACCCAGCAGTGCTCGAAAGCTATTCCTGGCTCTGTGCTCAGAAGTGACCCCTTGGATGTGCTTAGCTGAGGTTGCGGGGGGGGAGGGAAAGCCTTATGTGGTATTGGGGATTCGAAACATGGTAGACTCCAAACAAACACAGTGCACTCTCTTTAACCCCTACACTCTCTCTCCATCCTCCACTCCTAAATTTCTAGAATTGTCTAAGGGTCATTCCTAGGTGCCGGGGTGGACTCGGGTAAACAGGGAGCAATGCCTTTAAGGAGTTCATATAATTTGGCCTGTTCTAGTGGCTTCCGTCCTCTGGCCTGACCTTCTCAGCCCTAATCAGAGCTTCACCTCTCGGGCTGCCTGACCCTCTCAGCCTGGTTTGGCCTGGGCCTCGTGTAGGCAGCAGGGTGCAGGAGACCCCTTAGGAGCCCTGTGCTCTGCCCCACCCTCCACCAGCCCATAATACACACACACACACACACACACACACACACACACACACACACACACAGGAGACAGAGGAGGGAAGTACTGTGCAAAGGGAAGGAGGAAAGTGAGCACGGGGTGGGCCACATCTCCCGGGAAATTCTAAGCACCTGATGGTGTGGGGTGGGGGTGAAGGGGTGCCCCCTTGCCCCAGCGGGGGACAACTCTTTAGTGTGCCTCCTTCCCAAAGGGCCTCAGTTCCAACCCCCCCCCCACCTTCAGTAGGGACTGTGGAGTGGGGGGACTCACAGAGTTGGAGCCAGAACCATTGCCGCCACCGTTGTGGCTGTCGCTGCCGCCGCTGTTACCGCTGCCGCTGCCGCCCCCATTGTTTCCGCCCCCATTGTTGCTGCTCCCGTAGCTGCTGCTGTCGTAGCTGCTGCCACCACCGTTGTTGCCGCGACCACTGTTGCTGCCACTGCCACCGTTGTTGCCGCCACCATTGCCTTGGCTGCCACCGTTGCCGCCGCTGCCGCCACCGTTGCCATGGCTGCCCTGAGGGGCAGGACGAGAGCGATGCCGGGATCAAGGCTGAGGAGACCCCGACCGCACCCCGCATCCTCTGGGAAAGAGCCGCCGCCCGCTGGCTCGCTCGCTGGGCTCCTTCCTCCTCTTACCCCCGAGTCGCTGGAGCCTCCAGAGGGCGGAGGGTTGGTGCACTGTGTGGGGAGAAGATGGCCAGGGGCTTCAGCCAGAGCCCTGAGGCTCCCTGCTCTCCCTCCCCACATCCCTCTTTTCAGCACCCCATCCCTCCTCTGCCCCCCTTCCAGTGCTCACACCCAGACACTTGGCTCTCACCTCGTTGTTGGAGTTGCCGCTGCCCCTCACAGCGCCATAGCCAGGCTGGGCCACAGCTCCCTGCAGAGGGAGGCGAGAGTCAGTTGGAGAATCGGATGGAAGAACGGATGAATGGCAGGTGTGGGGGGTCAGACCTCAGGGTCGGGCTACTTTACCTGTGCATTGGGCCCCAAGTGGTAGGACCCTCCTGCGTTGCCTGCTTGACCCCAGGCGCCTCCCTGAGGGTTACCTCCAAAGTTGCTGTTTGGGCCGCCGAAGGACCCCTGGCCCCAGGGAGCTCCGGGACCCCCAGGAGAGCCCTGGCCCCAGGGAGCCCCAGGACCCCCGGGATAGCTCTGACCCCAAGGGTTCCCAGGACCCCCAGGGTAGCCCTGGCCCCAGGGAGCCCCAGGACCTCCAGGATTGCCCTGGCCCCAGGGAGTCCCAGGTGGGCTGGGGTTGCCCTGGCTGTGGATTCCATTGAGGCTTCCTTGCAGGTTATGTCCCCCAGAAGTTCCCTGCAAGGATGAATGACTGTCCTTAGTATGTGCAGGGCGGGACAGGCAGAGCCGCAAAGGAAGGGGGGGTCAGATGAGGGCACAGGAAGAGGCAGGGAGAGCCTGGCTAGGTGTCAGGAGGGATGCAGAGCAGAGACGCAAAAGGCCCCCAGACGCCCTAGAAAGAGACCCAAGCATCTTTGCAACCCACTCTCCGCCCCCCACTCGCACCCTCAAGTCCTACTCACCCAAACGCCGTTGCCACCAGGCAGGCCCTGCCAGGCATTGTGGGCAAAGCCTGCTCCCTGCCGAAGAAGCTCCTCAGCCTT